GGTCGGTTTCCGGTCGGACAAGACCGCGTGGTCGGAAATTAAGCGATAAGCGGTCGATGTAAAAGCGGAAGGTTGGGCGAAATGAGTACTGTATGACCATGTTTTTCCGACGAAGTCTCGACTGACAATAATGCTGACAATGGACGTTAGATAAACACGCATTGTTTGCGATGGAAAGCTTATCACCCGTTATATCAGAATCGTCAACAACAGAGTATACAGATAAGATGTTATCATTTAAACCCTTTCAAAGATAAACATTATGCAAATATCCACGAAACGCCAGTTGTAGTCTTTTCTGCTAGTGTTTTAAAACACTAATTTTAGCAACGTTATTTCGCAATTTCGATCTTTTGTAAACCTGGGGTGGTGTATCAAGGTCTAAAATAACCGTTTTATCAATTTTTGAAAAATCAAGAAAAAAGTGAAAATTTCCCTTCTCGCTACCTTAATAAATGTGGTTATATAGTCTTTGACTGATTATGTTGAAATTTTATATATTGATTATACATCATTTCATAGATACATGTATACAGATGTATTCAAAATGGCTGACTGGTGGCCATTTTGTTTTAATTAATGCTGTTCCAGAGCAATATCTCTCAATATGGACAAGTACTCGTTTAATGATCAGATACAAGATGACTGAATGTCAAATGAATGTTAAAAAATCCTCATAATTTAGCATCAGCTTCTGTATCCATATTTCTGGCATGTTTATGTTCCAACTATATTACCATTAAAAAAACTATATATATATTAAGTTTGATAACTGATAGGAACTATGCCATGCATGGCTTGTTTTAGCTCGTTCTATAGTCTCATATGACAAATGTATCTTTTTTGCACCTATCCCCGGTACTATTTTACCTGCTACTCAAAAACATAATGACAACACAGTGGAGCAATATGTGTTCAACAATGATCACTGAACTGAGTCATAATGAACTGTTTTGATGTCACTACTTTCACATGTGTGTCCTCTCGCCTCATGTGTCTAATGTGAATTTCCTGTGGCACACAATGGTGTACGTTTCATTGAATCCCACCAGACTTGTTGATATTTCAGTTGGTAACCTCATTACTGTTAAATTACAGAAAATTTGGTACAGTATGTAACGACCATGGTATGCGTTGCTGTTGATGGTCAACCGGTAATGGGTGTCATACATAAACCTTTTGAAGACAAAACAGGTATTTATCTTCATTGTATTTGATTTCACTATTTTGAGCATATTTTCTGTGTTTTAAGTTGATGAATATGCCATGGAAACAATATATTGTTACTATGCAGTCAGCAAATTTTACTTATCTGTCAATAATTAATGCATTTACACTATTCCCATTTTATTGTCTGCCTAAGGCCAGAAGAAAAATTAAATTAAGCTTTTGAATACATAATTAAGGGTTTATTTGGCGTGATAAAACAGGAAACAAAACATTTTTTTTCCTACCATATGTGTAACCCTTAAAGAAAAAATACTTATTTTGACCATAAATGTGTATGTGCTGCACCATAAACAGTAGTTACAATGATGTACCGATTGGTGAAAGAGTTCCTTAAGGCCCCCACCCCTAACATAGACCCAAAATGTAATTGTATATGCTAGGGGAGGGAATTGGAGTGGCAGGACCCTAAGAAACTCTTACAAGTTTATTTTGTGAAAGTAGAGTTTGAAATGACTCAATAGCTCGTCAACTTTACAATGTAAGCATTTCTTGTTATCAATACAGTGCGGCTAGTAAAATTTGATTTTTGTTGCAAATATCATTTTTGCTACTTGAATTTCAAGTTGTAAGCAAATTATATAAAAAAAATAATAAAAAAACTTGCAAATGAGAAATTTTGTGAGTCATTTTATACCAGTGAAAATTTCACTGAGATCCCAAAGTGAAAATTAATCTGTTAATATAACATTAGTTGAATTCAGAAATAAATGAGATATACCTATAATGTATATGATGAAACCTTTATGGCTTTTACTGCCCTTAGTTGTATTGCTATTGCGCCCTAACAAAAACTTTACAATCATGGGCCACAAAGACAGCTAAAGTGCATTGTTTGACATTCAGTGGGCCATTAAGGACATTAATAGAAAGCTAGTTATTCTATAATGGCCTAAGGAAACCCCTGCTACACTGGATTTTGAATTGTTTTCCAAAGAGTTGTAACAATGTTTGTTTCATTTTAGCTTGGGCCTGGGTAGGCAAGGGAGCCAGTGGATACAAGTTGCCACCAACGAAACCCGACAGTGCTGCAAAGAATATTATTGTATCCCGCTCACATTCAGGGGATGTTGAAAAAGTTGTGAAAGAATCGTTTGGAGAACAGTCCACAGTAATCCCAGCTGGGGGTGCAGGTTAGTATAAGAAAAAAATGAATAAGGGAATGTTCATAAATGGTCATGATGGGTGGTCTGGTGAGAATCGTTTGGAAGTCAAAACTGGAGGTGCAAGTTTGTATAAGTGAAAAATGAATAAGGGAATGTTCATAAATGATCATGATGGGTGGTCTGGTGAAAGAATCGTTTGGTAATCCAAACTGGAGGTGCAAGTTTGTATAAGTGAAAAATGAATAAGGGAATGTTCATAAATGATCATGACGGGTGTCTAGTGAAAAAATCGTTTAGAAATCCAAACTGGAGGTGCAGGTTTGTATAAGTGAAAAATGAATAAGGGAATGTTCATAAATGATCATGATGGGTGTCTGGTGAAAGAATCGTTTAGAAATCCAAACTGGAGGTGCAGGTTTGTATAAGTGAAAAATGAATAAGGGAATGTTCATAAATGATCATGATGGATATCTGGAGGGTGGCTGGTGAAAGAATCCTTCGAAGCTTGATTTATGCTCCAAATGCTGGCGAGTATACAAAAATAATAAATGAAGGGAGTGTGCGTAATTGATAGTGTTTGCTGGACAATTACTATATGGTATATGTTGGAATAAATTTGGAATATTTGCTTAGTTAAAAGAGGACATAAAAAAATTGCATTTGATGTATTCATGTTCGCGGTGCATATGGGTATTGTACAATAAACAACTAGCATGTTAGCGAATCCTGTTCCTATTTCATACCACAACATTCAACCTCTTTGATGGGTTGTTGAAAACAATACAGGGTCTTTCACAGTTCACAAATTAATTATATGCCTTTCATTCAGTGACGTCACAAGGCAAGCTAAATTGCAACAAGTTTAGATTTAGTTTTTTTAGTCCATAAACCTTGGGACATATGCACATGCAGTGGTTTACTGATTCAATCAAAATGGCTGACTGGCAGCCATTTTGATTTTTGAAAATGTATCTTATGCATGCTTTTTCAGTTTTTGTTCAAAGTTGGTACATACATTGTACATTTTAGATTACATGTCCATGACAATTTGTTTTACAATCAGATCAAAGATGGGTGACTGGTGGCCATCTTGCTTTTTGACCATACTACTATATCTCCAAGGTTTATGGACCATTTTCATTCATATTTGACTAATATTTATTAAATATGCTTTTGGTGCATATTACTTATTTTTGGTATGAATAACATTTTGCCTAATACCAGTTGGGACTATGTCATTAACAATGACTTATTGTTTGCAGGTTATAAAGTATGGTCTTTATTTGATGAGATAGCTGATGCCTATGTACATGTAACATTGATCAAGAAATGGGACATCTGTGCGGGTAATGCTTTGCTAAATCATCAGAATGGAATCATGACAGACTTAGAAGGACAGAAAATAGACTACTCTGCAACTTCCGATCCTAAAAATGAATTTGGACTATTAGCCACACTACATGACCATAACACTTATCTGAAAAATTTGAGACCAGCCTATGAAGCACTCAAGAAATCATAAGATTTGTTTTATTTGTTGTTTTTACATAATGTTTAATTTAGGTTTGATTTTTACTACCTCTTTATGAAAGGAGAAAAAAATATGATCTTTAACAGCAAGGTTCAAAGGTCAACAGCTGTAATTGACGTTGAAACCATTCACAGATTGAAATTCAACAGAAACACATGTTCTTAGGGTTATAAGTGAGTCAGAGAAAAACATTTTGGCTACGCATATTATTCATGCAAGACAAAGGCATTCTTTTATTTGTTTTGTGCATCAATTTGATGATGACTCTTTCATCATTCAACTCTTCTAAGTTCTATGAATACAGGATTTTTAAATTATTACCTTGCCCGTAACATCAAAGATGGAATGGAAAGGTATATTAAGGGAAAAATTTCTGTCCGGCGTTGGCGGCGGCAGCAGCAGCAGCAGCGTCGTCGTCGTTAATAATTGTTATTGTGGTTTTTTTTTGTGAGCTATAATGTTAGCAATTTTTTGTGTTCTATTTTTTGCTTACAAGTATGTTTTACACCTACATAAGACATTGAGATAAAATAAACTCTAAACTAACAATCATGAATAAAAACAGTACAGTGGATGCATATTTCATGTGTTGAGTTTTTTTAAAAGCAAACTCCTACAAGTCTGGAATATTTTTCATCCTGATCCTGACCTAAAATGCTATAATGCAAAGAACAGTATCTGCTTCTCCTTCAAATTTCTAAATCGAGTATAAAATGCAATTAATTTTATATTCTACAATACTTGCCACCCTTGCAACTCCTTCTCTTTTAACCTTTGACTTGTTATAAATAAAATTTGTTCATTTCATTACATATTTATAAGAATACTGTATATATAATCAAGTCTATATTGGAACTACTTCTGAGATGAATCAGTTTCATATTCTACTCGCTATTGCTATCTCCACTAACGACTAGGTGCAATGCTAGTAATTTTTGAGTGGTTGTTTAATGATATTAACATGAGCATTGTTAAACCTGTTGGGATAATCAGGAATTGCTGATATCCAACTTTCACTTAGCTTCACTAATGGCGTCCTATAGTAAGCAGAAATCTGCATATGTAACAAGATATTACTAGCATCATATGTAGACATCAGTGGAGTGGTGTATAGCGAGTGGAACACTGCTTACATTGCTGAATAAACAAAATGTAATTTATTGAAGAATTTGACCAAAGGATGTTTTCAAATCCTGACTTATTTTCCCCGGGTCAGTATTTCTAGTGGGTTCCTAACAATTGTTTTATAGAGATGTTAGAAGTAATTGATTTTTTAATTCCAGTCATTGGATTTGATTTCAAATGTGCTATTTCAATTGGGGGGAATTCTTTATAGTGAAAGAATGTCACTAATCTGATTGGAAAATTCAAATCAGTTTCTCTGGGTATTCCCTAAGATTTTGATCAGAGAGGGCAATCAAGAAAGTCGTTTACTTTCACATGCAGTATTTAGGAAAGTTGAGTCATTATATACAAGAGTAGGAGGCTGCTTAGGCTATAGCTGCTTTCTAAGAACACTCTTTGGTAGCCCAAATCTTTAACGGTGAAGGACAAGGGATTATTCCCACAATGCATTGGTACACATTTTTCACAATGGGACCAGTAATAACCTGCGCATAGTCAGTCAGTAATTCATAATAGCAATAACTTAGGATGATTTAATTCAATAATTTATTCAATATTTGTGGTAATACAAAACTTTACATGTACCTGGTATATTTTTGGCAATGTATTGCAGGGTTAGTCTGCTGGGTATATTTGATATTCATTCATATTTAACACACAGATTGGACTTGATCTTGAACTTTTCCCACACTCTGCTTACTCTGTCTCAAAAATTGTATCTATCACAGTTCCAGATTAAAAATTATAAGCCATATTATACTCTTGCTTGTCTCAAAATTATCATTTAAAGCGACAGTGTCACCAGAACCATGTATGTGCATAAGAGAGGGGGGGGACGCTTCACATACAGTAATGATGACTGTTAACATTCAGTGATAGCGGACAGATTTCAGAGTTCTGTCAGTTAAGCATTTACAGGCAAGCGATTCAATTCTACCATTTATGGTAAAACTATGCAGTATAGTTGGTCATAATTAGTTTTTTCAGACAATAAAGTACTATACCCTATTTGCTCTATTACTGTAAAATCTGTATTAAAAGTCGCAGCTTCTATTAAAATGGTACAATGCAAAATAAGAGATGCGGCTTCTACTAGAGCATTTAAACATGAGAAATAGTGAATTTTTGGTTCTCAATTATTCAAAAAGAATAAGTATGACTTCTAATGCAGATTTTACAGTAGTAGTACATATACTTACATAAGCAGTCCTTCATCAAAATACTTTATCAAAATTTGAATAATCCTGTATACAATAAATGTAACTGTTGACTTGCATGTGTATTTACGATCATTTTTGTTTTGAACTGTGTGTACCGGGGTAATGTGCCAATCAGAGAACAGATACAAAAACAATAGAGCTTTAGAACATGCATAGTTTTGGTGGCATTGTCGCTGTAACTTTGTTTTTATTAACAAGGTGAATGTGTCTCTCATGGTGTTGTATATTTCATTTAGTATTCAAATAAAATCAATCTTTCGTGGGAAAACATATTGAGCAACTCGTGGTTCACTGTGTTACTGTGTTATAAGGTATGCAGCGTTAATATACAAGTATGGTGAGTTATTAACATGTGTGTGTCAATCAAAAGCATTTTTAATCAGTGGAAGCTTGCAATGGTTTGTAACACGAACAGAAATAAGTAGGCTTATGATGGAATTCAAAAAACACATAATATTCACTTTGTGAATTCACAAGGACACTAGTAAAATGCTTTGAGACAAACTACTTCTTTCACAGTTCATCTACATTTTAGAATTTCCAGGAATGCTGAAATTTGTGGAGATCATCTTCTCATGTCACGCCAATTGCCAAAATGAATCTTTTTGTGTTCACAAATTACCACTATATCCTAGTAGACAAAGTTGTTTCTCCTCCCAATATGTCTTGTTTGACTATTGTTGGAAATATTTTGAATATGACTGATAATTATTAAAATGCATCTCCATATAAAAACAGTCTTAGTCTGGACAATGTTTGTTTTGATCTAATTAACATAAACAATCTGCTTTGATATGCACACATT